CCTTTCTTCTGTAACCTGGTATCAATGCAACCTCTAGTGTTGGAATTATAATCTCCATTATCCCCATTATTTCTGTGAAAACGTCATGAAATTCAAAGTGATAGTGATTGGATGTCAGAGCTCTGAACAAGTCAGAATGGGCAGAATATTTCCTTCTGTTGTAAAGAATTATGGTATATATATATAAAGTTAGAATTAAGCATTTCTGACATTTATGAGATTCAAACAACAAACTGTGTAATGTTTCTGTATTTGTAAATGTAATTTTTGTTTTCTGTATGCACATGCATAGTCCTTCTAAGCTTTCTCTTTGTTCCTTGTATGAAACCAGTTTCCTAAGAATGTTTTCCTTTATAGTTAGGGATGATTAGAGGGGGGTTCATTAAGGTGCTTGCTTATGGCCCCCATTTCTATATAAGTTCCTGAATCCTATTGTTCCATCTCTAGCTTGGGAAAAAGTTAAAATATTGTTTGTTTCATTATTCCAAATGTTACATTTTACAGTTTCATGTTATGTTCCCCATTAATTACAAATATTGTATGGATATCTAAATTTTCATTCCATTAGCATCAAGCTATCATTTGAATGATAAATCCAATTAGACTTTTGCCTTAAGTATCATTTCTGCAGGATTGATTCATAGTATTTGCCATACTGTATGATACTCTCTGTCTTGTTACTTTGGAAATGTATATCCGCAAACAGCCATTGGACCGTTGGATGCAAGATGAGATCTGACAGTTTCATTTGTGGCTTGGAAGGGTGAGAAGGAACATTTTATGAATTCAGGTTAACAAGAAGTATATAAAGAGCAGCAATTCTAGCAGAACAATTTCACTAATAATGGTTTTCCCAATTTTAGTACTACAGTTATGGGAGAAGCATGCCTAACTAAGCTGCTTTTTAGTTCCTTAAATGTGGACTTGGCAATGCTCAGTCCTTTGATAATCAGGAGTTATTTGACGGCTCTCATAATAAATCTAACATTTATTTCACTTATTATATTTGGGGATCTTGGTTTAGAAGTCAACTGTAGGTTTTATTTAAATATAAATTTGAGTACATTTGATGCCATTATCTTTCTAGATGAGTCATAAAGATATGTTGGCAGCTGCTTTTCCTTTTATGTGAAACTGTTACAGGCAAAGAGTAAATACATCTAGACTAATTAATGTCAAAAGTCCACTTTTACAATGAATAGTCAATGTGCTTGGAATAACATTCCAAAGTTGGGATTCTTACCTAAATATCTATGAGTTAAATGAAAGTAACTTAGGATCAAGCACAAGTTATGCACAAATTAATACTGTAGTTATGCAAAGATACTTTCTGAAATGCTTAACATTCTTGTTTACTATTAGTAGCTTCTAATATTTAAAAGGTTTAGAAGAAACCATTTTTAAGCTGAAAAGATTTACACTTGATTTGTTAATATTAAAAAGTCAACGATTGGTACAAATGTGTAGCTCATATTTTTGTTATATACATTGTTATATATATTGAAATGCAAACCTCTGAGGTTCTTTTTATAAAAAATGGCATCTTTCTAAAGATAATATTGAAATGGTAAAGCTAATCCAATTATGATACATCTTAGATATTATATTCAAAATATAATCCTGATTACTTCAATATTTACAAACAGAAGCCTTTCTTACATCAATCGCCAATTTCCATTTTCATGGAATTTTCAATTTTTGAATTGATGTAGCAATGCATAGTAGGGTTGTGCATCAATCTGGATTCAAAGTGGGAAAGATGATTCAGGTCATATGCATGTGCTATTTTTTGTTGGAAATTCATTAAAGACATAAGGAAAAGTCAATAGGTGTGATGTGTGTGGCCACGTGTACTTTGGTCACTCTTTTCGGATCTGGACTATTGAACAAGCCTATTCCAAAGAAAATGTATTAATAGAGTGACAAACCTATATTGAGTGATGGGATATCTAAACCAGAACTGAAACATAATATGGTGCCTCCAGATGCACGGCATTTTCAAATTTCAGAGGGAAAACACTTCCTGACATTCTTCTGAAAGGTGTAGTTGGAATCTCAGGTATTGGCTACTAGGAGGGTTCACAGAAATCCAGTTCCACCATGTTCTCAGTCTCTATGTGGCCAGTTAGGTTAATGTCTGGATCCATCCTAATAAGGAACATGAACTATGTAGCTCACTAAGTCAAAACCAATTTCATAATTTGATGCAGTATACAAACCGAGTCCAAGTTTGCTTTCAAATTCATATGTTAATCGAATTCTGAAAGCTTATCTTGGGGTCTTTTGCTTTGATGCAGCAAAAGCTCCCTTTGCCCAGACAACTCAGTCCCTAATGATATGTCCTCCAATCATGCTGTGCTTCATGATGGTAATGCTCGCTGCTATATTTCTGCTGACGATGGAGAGAGAAGCTATTTTGAGAAATAAGACAAACTGAATAAAATAGGATGCTGTAAGGAAATAAGTTACTGAATGAAATATTTTAAAAATGAACATTAGAAGATCAACAAGAGTAGGGGATGTATGTGGCTGAAAATGTTTGTATTACTAATATGTTTGTTATTGCAATAATAGTTTATTTTTCTGCAGAATCTTTCCCACTGAGATACTCTCTCCCCAAAGTAGGCATACCACTGCATAAAAAAATTCTCTTCCCAGCTTTATAGATGGTTTGTGTCTTCCTCAGTCTTAGGTCTTCTATCAGAGGCCTGGGAGTTTTGAGAGTTCTGCAGAGGATCTTAGCTGTTCCTAGCACTGCACACTTTTGGACAGAGAGCTTTGTTGTTTATTAAACCTATTTGCTGCCCATCTTGTATCAAAACAATTCTGTTCCTGGGAACTGTTGGAGTCACTCTCCCAGTTTAGGAGTCATAGTCCCAAGTATTCCTACCACTTTGGCCTTAACATTCCATATCCTTCCAGGTCCTCCTTCAGGTCCTGATAATTCTCCAGCTTTTTCCTGATGTTGCTGTCACTTGGCATTGTTACATCTATCATCACTGTTGTCTTTGGTTCTTGTCTATTACCATGAAGTCTGGTTGATTAATTAGTATCTGTCTGTCTGTCTGGATCTGACTTAGCTTTCTTATTCTCCACAACATTCTGTGGGATCTCCCACCCAGACCTAGGACGGTCTAGTCCATATTCTGTGCAGACATTCTTGTACACAATATCAGCTCCTCGGTTGTACCTTTCAGTGTATGCTGTTCCTGCCTATATCACCCTGCCAGTATGTGTTGGGTTGTCTTGAGGGCTCTCTACATAGTCTGCACCTTGGATACTTCTAGTGTGGTAGACTTTTGCTTCTATGGATCTGGAGTTTAGAACCTGTTTTTGTGCTGTTCTGGACAGTGCCTCAGTGCTGTCTTTTTGTCCAGCCCTTTCCAGCAGTGGTAGGATTTCCCAGTCTCTATCACCTCAGCTATCTATCGATGGGACATTCCATGCAGGTTCTTGTCTTGCCATGCCACTTCTTCTGCTTGATCTTCCTGCCATGTCTGCTGCCTCAGGCGTTCTCGCATCAGCTCATCTTTGGGTGCCATCTTACTGATGTATTCCTGAATACTCTGGGTTTCATCCAGGACTGTCACCTTGTTACTCACCAGACCCTGACAACCCTCTTTTCATCTAATTTACAGTCCATGAGTTTTGGACTTGAGTTGGAAACCTTTGTACATTGTGACGAGCTACCAGATTTTCACATTGGCAACTTCTGTGTTCTTCTTTGGCCAGCTCACTATATCAGCGGGATATTTGATGGCAGGACATATATGTTGATTGCATAGATCTTGTTTTTCCCATTAAGCTGGCTCTTCAACCTTTGGTGGATGTTGCTGTCTTATTTGCCTCCTTCTCATGGTCCCCATATGATTTTGTGGGATACCAAGGTTTCTGTAGCTGGTCTGTATGTCTGCTATGTGGCCCTCTATTAGTTCCACCCTATCAGTCTTAACTACTTTCCCTCTCTTGTCTACCATCCAGCCACACTTCTCAAGTCCAAATGACATCCCAATGTTATTACTATAGATCTGTGTCAGGTGGATCAGTGAGTTGATATCGCATTCATTGTTTGCATACAACTTGATATCATCCATGTAGAGAGGTGGCTGATGGTAGTCACGCTTGAACTTGCATCCACACTCAGTCTTTGTGTTATCTGGCTGAGGGGGTTCAGGCCTATCCAGCATAGTACGTCCCACTTGAGGACCCCTTGTATGAGTTGTCTTGAGTTGACTTCCAGTGTTGTCCTCCACAGTCCCGTTGAGTTCTTGAAGAAAGTCCTTAGTGTCTTGTTGACTTTGCATAGTGCCAGGTGTTCACAGATCCAAACATGTGGCATTGAGTATATACATATACGTATACATATACACATACACATATATACATATACACACACACATATACATGTATATACACACATACACACATATATATACATATAATACATATTTCAAGAAAGGAATGATAGCACCACAAAGAAGGATGCTGATTAAACTCAAGCTTTGGCATGAAATTTCTGAAGAAACTGCCATTTCTGTTAAATGATTGGGGGGGGGAGGGGAATTATTTAGGTGTATTGTAAGAAATTGAGATACAGCTGCTAAGTGCTTTTTAAATATTGAGCTTCTGAAGCCTTAATAGCCCTAAGTGTTGAATGTGGGAAGCAGTATAAATGTTAAGTGCTATTGCTATTTCCATGTACTCCATTCAGAGCAGTGAAAAGAAGAAGAGATAACTGTCTTCCTTCATTTAGTTATAAAATTCCATGATCATTTGGATAATGTACTACTGAACCAGAATGTTGCATGAAGTGAACTTCCAATCTGGTAGATATCTACCATAATTCTTAGGAGTTGTTTTGAAAAAAAAATGGAATGAAGATTGTCTGGAGAATTCTGTTGGATGGTTCTGTTACAGTTGGTTCTGATCCTATTACAAAAAGCTTTGGGTTAAGTCATCTTAGTCTCTGCAAGAAAGATGACCCGAGGAAATCCCTAAATATGCCTAGCTCACTATGGAAAAAACGTTTGCCTGCTACACGACTCCTGCTGCGCCCTTGGCTTAGTGAGCATCAGACAGAATAGAATAATTTATTCTTACCTGGTGGAAGGGAAAAAGGAAATTCTGAGTTTGTATTTGCACATTGTATTTTTTTTTCCATACCCATTGACCGGGGTATTCCTCTTTTTTTATCACTTCTAGCTGGAAATCATTTCTTTGAGAGTTCAATTTCCTAAAAATCGTCATTTCATTTATATTCCCTTTGTCTCATATAGTCTTCTTAGGAAAGGATGGAGTGAAATATACTATATCATCATCATCATCATCATCACCACCACCACCACCACCACCACCATCATCTCTTTTCCTTTCTGGCTATTCTGCCAGATGGCTTAGGCTAAGCAATAGTACAAATCCAAATTAATAATAGGTTGTGTTTAACCAGGGATTTGTCCTCAAGCAAAAGTGGTGGGGTTTAGGGATATTAGCAAAGCTGAGCTATCATAACAGTTTCTCTGCTTGTTTTTCACTTTTTCTAAAGCTAAACAGGTTCTGTTCTGAAAACTTAACAGGCTGCAGGAAGAATTAACTTTCCTCCTTTGAAGTTGGTGGTTTCAACTTCATATGGGCTTTTGGTGATTGGTTTTTCAGGCCATCACAAAGTTTGCTGGGATTTGACCAAAAAGGAAGTGGCTAATGAACCATGACCATTGCTTTGGTGTGAGAAATGTTCTGTAGATCATCTTCACCACCATTAGGCATTTCTTGCAAACATGAGTCTTTATCAAATTCCACTCTCTGTCACTTGATATCTTTCGTTTGAAATTTTAAAATATGCATGTATTTAAGCCTGTTTTGTGAAAGGCAGGAGGGCTGTTGAAAGCCCTCAAGTTCTTCATATCCTGGTCCCCCCCCTCCTGCTTTGCTGTAGCAGGTTGATAGTTTTTGATAGGTTTTGCTGCCATCACCAGGGGGTATCTCACTTAAGTATTCAGACTATTACCTCAGTGTGTGTGAGAGTGAGATCTCCCACCTTGTTGCTTCATGAAAGCAATCTAGAAAAGATATAGAGTGATAAAATGCAAATGGTCTTCAGTGAGACTCAGAAAAGTGATTAAAATATCAAGACATTGAACATTTGGTCAAAGGCTCCTCCAAAGAGATAATTGTATTTTGCTGTGTGTAGGAATGGTTTTCAAAACAGTTGAAAAGCTGCAGCCTGTTTTGAACGCAGGAGTCCATTCTGATATAATTGAACTTGGGGAGTTCTCATCCCTCATAATATTTCCATAATTGGGGAAGGGCAATGTTTTGTAATATTTGACTGAGAGATACAATTTCAAAGTTATACTTTTGTAATTGCCACCCACCCCACCAGTGATCTGTGCCTTGGTTATCTTAAAAAAGCAATGATTCCTCACACTGAGTTTTATTATGATCTTCTGAAGATGCTAAAGGAAAAACTGAGGTTCTAAAGAACCAATATAGACCAGATGCTTTGGCTGCTTAAGAGGCACCTGAGCTGCTTTTTTACTTGGTGGAATCCATGAAAGAAATCAACCAATGATACATCTCTATCAAAAGCTCAAGGATATTTGTGAAGTGGACATTTATGGGATATTTCAAAAAAAATACTAAAGAAGCCACATCAATGGCTTCACGTCCTTAAACATGGTAAAGTGATATCTACTGATTTCAGTTTAAGATTGAATTAGGATGCATTGGACTTGCCAAGCAATGTATTTGAAAGGATGGAAAACACATTTTCTGTGCTTGGGGTGTAAAAACTTTGAGGCTCACTGACCCAAGTGAGCATTTAGTATCTTCAGGATAGTGCATTAATGTATCTTATTAGATCTTTACATATCGAGGGTGTTAATGTAATGTTGAAGAATATTCGGAACCTTGGAATCTGACTGTTTATCAGGAATTGTGGTTGTATAGAACATTGGGAAAGGGTGGTGGCAAAAAGAATTTTTTGACTTTATATTGTTGTTGTTTTTCAAGATATCAAGGAATGGTTGTCAGAAATATGTGATTTATCTGTTTTGGAAAAGGCAATATTCTCCACTCAGCAATATGTGTTAAATGGCAGTAATTTTGTGATTACAATACACAATAATTTCTTGTATTCTTTATATTATAATAGTGAATTCATGGGTAAACTGTAACTATAAATAAGTATAAAATACAAGACAGATTTTTCTTTTTTTTTTACTTCTTAGTTCGTATTTTAGTTGTACGTTTAATTTGTTTTTAAATTTACTTCTCTATGATTAAAATTGTCTGATTAAAAAGGAATAAAGAAAAGGATTACAAAAAAACCAGATCCATACTGGGAGCTCCACAGAACAGACATTAATCTCTTCACTGCTAGGGATCCTGAACATATATCCAAGTTTTTCTAGCCTTCAGGTTCTCACTTGTTGAAGTGGTGATTTTGACTCAGGTAAAATCTCCCAGATCTGCTACCTTCCTTCAGTTTGGGCAGTCTATTGCAGAGAGCAACCACAGTGCTTCTAGATGTCTGTGGAGATTCTCAGTCATCCAGGTCATCGTTTTGAAACAGCAACCTTTTAAGAGTGCTTCTAGAGATGCTTGGTGTTTGTTGGGCTGGCTTCCAGGTCTGGCTATCTGTCATTTATAGAACTTGAAACTAAATGAAGCCCACCAATCCTACAGACTCAATGAAACCCTTGCATCTTCACAGCATGCTAGGGTTGGATTCAGCCTTCTAAACTATTCTCCTCTCAGCACAAGAATCCAAGAATCCCCAGCAAATGGTGATCTCACTTTTATTTGACCCCATCCAGTAAAGGGGAGCTATTGCATCTCTGGGTAATTGGTTTCGCTGTCTTACAGGGAGTCCTTGACCATTCAGAGTTCCAATGGATCTTGCTTGGAGTTACTTACAATCTGGATTTGAAGTTCAGACTGTCCCCCACCCCCACTCCCACAGTTATGTGGCTGCGGTTTGGGAACTCGACAACTGGGTTGTATTTATAGCCATTTACACTGCCCCGCAGTCACATGACCACAATTTTTGACAATTTTGCTGAAAATGATATTGACATCCGCTTTTCAGCAAAAACAGCCCATAGTAAACCATGGGTTGCTTGATGACCACGGTGTTCCCTTAATGGCTACTGCAACAAAGATAATGAAATTGGCTTTGTCATGTGACTGGCCGACTTTATGCCTATCATGATTTTAACAACCATGATTGGAAAGTTCCATTACAGTCATAACTCAAGATCTACCTGAATTGCTAGAAATTTTTTTTCAACCAATCATTCAGAGATATCTGGAAGGGAACAACTCAAGGAATTATGTGAGTGGCCAGTGAAAGCAGCACCCACTGCCTCAACTGCATAGACTTCCACGCTTGGATTACCCAGTGTGAATCAATGCTGCTAGGAATGATAAAAGCCCAATTCCTATACTCTCTCTGTGTTTTAAAAAAGATAAAACTTTTTGTCCAATTCCAGCAGAGGGTAGAGCAAGAGTAACCTGACCTAGCCTGTGTACCTGACAGTGAGCCATTTCTCATTCATGGGATGTGGATTGTGAATCTGAATCTTTGTACAAACTACATCCAGCAATACTCCATTTCTTTCCTTGCTGGTTGTATGATAATCTATTTCTTCCATCTAGAGTGGATCAATCTGATAAGTAATGGAAAAAGGATAAAAAAGGATATAGGTTATTGCATATGTTCTAGGAAATCTTCTCCGCTTTCTCTTGATATATTTTTCTATTCATAGCTAGAGGAAAAAATATAGGAAGAAATGTTTATCTCTGTGTGCGTACAGATGTTTTCAGTCCAAAAAAATGGGAGAATTTCAGCTGATGGAAAATATATTAAAGAAAAATAAACCCACAGCCATTTTCTTTTACAGGTTACAAGGACAAATTGGTTAGCCACAAAAGGGGAATTAAGGTATGCTACTTCTCCTATGTACTGTACATATTTTAATTTTTAGAACAAGGAAAAGTATCAACATTAACATTATCAACAGCCAGTCATAATGAAAACACATGCATTACTAACTGAGGGGAGAATGTAAACATATTTGTATAGGCTAGTTTGCACTCACACATGCAGTAACGCCTTTATTTCGTTTCGAGTGTGTTAGTCAAACAAGGTTATGTGGCTTAGCGTATTGGGTAAACCAGAATTAGTCTGTGAATGATTTATAAAAAATAGGATTGTGCATGCATCAGAAATATATATGAAAAGAGACTGTTGACGTCCCATGAGCACAGTGCCACTCCGCTGTTGATGTGTGTAGCTCTGTTTATGTGGATAGAAATTGACTGAGATAGTACAACAGGGGATTTAAAAAGATCTGATCAGGAAACAGTGTATCTTTAACAGTATATCTTCTAAGGAAATCCAGTCGGGGACTTTTATCCCAGGTAAGGTCTTTGTCTTCCATGTACTTCCCAGCTTTACCTTCTTTTATGAGTTGGGAAAAGTAATAATTTAATTTAATTTAAATCTTACTAACAGAAGTAAGTCCTTTTTTCCAGGAGGCTCCCAGTAAAAGATAATTACTATGGACTATCATTAACTGAGTTGAAGACATAATTTTTATCTTTTGTTATCAGTTAATATTTTATTTCTGGTCATTTTCTTTTGCCCGAACAGAGGTAATCTACTGTATTTAGGCAGAAATGATTATCACAGAACTGCAAATTTCTGAAGGTTTCAATCTGATTCCAGGAGTAATCCAGAACAGAGACTACCATCACAATTCAGTGAGATTATCTACATCATGAACAAGAGAGGGGGAATACATCTATCTGGTTCTGCTGGGCTTCTTAGTGGCATTCAGTACCTTTGTCTGGGGTATCCTTCTGGTCATACCTTTCTGTGGTATCATAGTTATAGCCAGATCAGATTAGTACAAATGTGTTATATTCAGAAGTACATTTGAAAAATCTCTGAAAACTATAATTTATCTTGAATGCGGGTCCAAAAAAGTTGGGAGGATTATATTATGCCATCCTGTAAGAGCTATGATAGTTGCCAATTTGTTTCCAGTGACAAATCAAAGTATTGGTGATAAATTTTAAAACTTCAAATGAGTTAGGTATATAGTATTTCAGAAATTATCTCTCTCATACTGGGCTGCCTATTCCCCTGCCATCTGATAGAGAAGTCATTCTCTATGCCCACCTCTAGAAGATGCACATTTGATTGGAATGATAGAATGACCACATCTAACTACTTTCTAAAGCCTTGGTGAGACCACACTTGGAATACTGCATCCAGTCTTGATCACCATAATATAAAAAGTATTCTGGAAAGAGTGCAGAGAAAAACAACAAAGATGATTAGTGGGTTGGAGGCTAAAACATATGAAGAACAGTTGCGGAAATTGAGTATGTCTAGTCTAGTGAAAAGAAGGACTAAGGATGACATGATAGCAGTGTTTCGATATTGAGGGATTACCTCAAAGAAGAGGGGGGGTCATCCTATTTTCCAAAGCACTGGAAGGCAAGACAAGAAACGATGGTTGAAAACTAACCAAGGAGAGAAGCAACCTAGAACTAAGGAGAACTTTCTGACAGTGAGAACAATAAACCAGTGGAATGGCTTGCCTTCAGAAATTGTGGGTGCTCCATCAATAGAGGCTTTTAAAAAGAGATTGGACAGCCATTTGTCTGAAATGGTATAGGGTCTCTTGCTTGAGCAGGGGGTTGGACTAGAAGACCTCCAAGGTCCCTTCCAATTCTGTTATTCTGTTAAACTCTGAAACTTTCCACTTTGGCAATAAATGGAGAAAGCACCTTACTATCTTTTTTACCCAACCAATAAGACTTTTTTTAAAGAAGTATCAGCAGAAGCTGCTGTCTGCTTTGTAATTTTTTTTAAGAAATTTTTGTGTTTTGTTTTTATAGATTTTTTTAGTATTGTCTTCCTTTTTTTAATCTGTTAAACATTTTAAATGTTGCACTGATTTTTAAGGTAATCAGCTACTTTAAGTGAAATGGGTACATTAGAATGGTAACATATAAATCTTTATAAAAATGAACAAATGTTCCACCATGTTTTGTTTTGTCCTAAGTGAATATTTTTTGAGAGAGTTAGGATGACTTCATAACCAGTGATGTTCCTTAATCCTGTTTCCTGCCCTTTCTCTAATACCTCCCCCAAACAGTACCAAGGAGGTACATTTAATTTTTTTTCCATAGCGGATTTCTAGAATGTGGAAAATACTGAGACACCTGAGATTAGCTCTCTATCTTGTCTTTGATGCCTTGTATACCTGTACTCGTAGAGTAGAAGGAACATTTTCCAACATATATACAGATTTGGGTGATCTATTTGCAATGTATTGTTTATTCTAAGGATATGGTTATGGCTACTCTCTGTAGCCATATGTAATGCTAAAGAGATGGGTAAAATGATCATCAGCTTTTTAGAAAGTGGAGCCACTGTACTGAAGGAAAAATTCCTCTACACAGTAATCTGTTTTAGCAGCCCTTGTGAATCCTGCTACCAGATATTTTGTTTTCTTGTCTCCAAGGATCAAATACTTATTAGAGAGGACAGTGGGTTAGCATGCATAAGGTACTCTGCTGCAGGATTTATGTTGATACAGATGACATATGTTTAATATTTGACCAAATTATTGCATTTTCCCTTCCTCCCCCCAAAGAATTTTCACAGGCTCATTGTGAACATTATTCTGATGATAAAAGCATGCCGAGGATTCCGCAGCGCATTGAAAGGATTTGCAGGTTTTGACCTGACAGAGAAAGACTGTCGTCGGGAAATTGAAGGTGTAAGGAGTTCCCCAAAAACAACTGAAAATCTTTTATTTATTATTGATTTTATTTATTATTGCTTTTTAACATTAACTTCTATTGGTATTCTACAATATAATCACAAGCCATAAATATAAAATAGAATTATTTGTTTAAAAACTAACATGAAAGTGTAGAATACTTTTAAGCTTTTTTTTTTTTTTTTACAGAATTCTATGTAAAATTAACTGCCATTCAATGTCTGCCTTTTAGGACATCAAAAGTGCCAATGCTGTGTTTGATCGACATGAATTCAGCGTTTCAAAGGTTTGGACAAGCCATATATTATTGTTTTGGATGTTTTTTTGCATTTGTAGTGACAGACAACTAGAGGATAAGAGTGGGGATATAGCAGTGGGGAAATTGAACAAATACCTCTTCAGAAGATGAAACAAGAACAAAAATTTAAAATGTTTTGATCCAATGTTTTAGTTGGGTTTTCCGGTTCTGAGTTCAAGGTGAAATACATTGTCAACTTCCTGCATGCTGGTTACTGTTATTTAGTCCTGCTTTACAGAACCACAGTAGCAAAAACTTTTGTGTGTCTGCTGCAGGAGATTCAGTATTTGAGCTTGACTGGAGGTGAGTGTGAGATGCTTGAGGGAGGAAAGGTGTCCAAAAGAGTGAGTGGAATATATTGAAATAGATGCACTTCAGTATGAGCATGGGGACTAAAGGCTGTCTTCCTCATCCTTGGATTGATTGGTAATATCTTTGCAACCACCCCTTAGTGACCATGTTCATGAGGGCTGGGGAATGGTGGAATTATAGTGCAATAGCTGCATAGCAAAAGATCAGGAGGGAAGCTTCACATAATTGCTGAACTGAAATACAGTTCACACTCAACTGAGTCATTCCTGCATACTGTGTTGAAAATTAAACACAAACGGTAAGCAGTATAGCTGAAGCATGGGAGTTCCTGAGTGAATAAGAGGATGCTCTTATTCCCAAGAGCATCTGCAGGTGGGGGGAGGGTGTGAAAATGTCCTCTGTGACTGCATGATCAAGGAGCCACCCCTTTTAAAGATATCATACAGACCGAAATCCACTTTAATGCCCCTTCTCTCCTGCTGATGCTCTGCTTATTACATCCACAGGCGGCTTTCTTCTCAGTTGAAGAATGCCTCAACATTACACAAGCTTTTCCCTGAAAGCAATAACTCCCCCCATTATTACTTTCATTACTTCTAATTATTTACATTAACTTAGGCTTGTCACACAGGCTTCTTACTGAGGGTGGGAGGAGAGGCTTGTGATGGGAAGGGCTTGGGTGGACTGGGAAATCTGTAGAAATGCTGAGGCCAAAGTTTGTCCAGTTTCCATCATTGCAATGGAACTTTATTGCTCTTTTGTGAAGGTGGAAACCACACATTTCTCCATGGAACTGAGACGTAATCCCAAGGAGACCTGATAAAATACTGATCAAACTAGCAAGCAATATTAGGACTTTGAAGTTACATCTTGGGAGGCAAATGAAAGAGAGAGAGCAAGAGAGAAGTAATGATGCCTAGAGTCTTGAGAGAATGACATTGTCATCTTTTACTGCTGCCCCTGTGAATATTTATTTTTAAATATATTTGATATTGCCTTCAGGAACATTTCCCTTTTAGAGCCATCCAAATAACTAAGAAGCCACCAACATGGAGGACTGAATCAGAAATAAAACACTTGCGCAACCGCTTACAGCTTTTAGAAAGTTACCGCCAATATAGCCCAACGCTGCAGTATCTGTTGGCCAAAGTGATTCGCTTTGAACGGTAATCGGGAAGGGAAGGTGGGCTAGGGAAGATAATACTGGCTTTGGAGCAATCCAAACCAGATCTGTAGCTTTAAAAGTCTCCAAGTATCCCAATTAAAGGTAATGTTCCATCAAGGTTACCCAACATATTTTATTGCAGGAACTGGAATAGCCTAAGGTATCCCACTACTTTGCATTCTTCTGCTGTGGATATCACACAAGACCTTTATAAAAATCCTAGACAGTTTCTATGGAAAATCTCTGCAAGGTCTCACTCTGCTTTTTGGAACTGTTGTCATGTATTCTCCTGACTCTAATTCACTCTGGAAAGCTGCTCATCCTATTACCATTTCCCTAAGTGCCCAACACCCCTTTGTTGGTAATGGGGGGATTTCCCTCACCCCAGCTGCTGCCATTAGAAAATATTGTAGCTGGAGGGGAGGAAATAATGCAGGTAGACTGCCCTATAGGTAGCATTGTGATTTTGCACGTATCATTCTCCTCTGACTTTGCTGTAACCCGGCCTTCCTACGGATTCCTAGGATTTGATAGAACACATCAGACTTGTTGTTTTTTTTGTTATCAAAAAGACTGTGACTTTGTTACTACTCAGAGTATCAAAAGAATTGTTTTAGGCCAGAATTCTAACCCCAGAGTGGCCAACGGATAATTCTCCGGTTGCTTAAAAGGGAATGCAGCAGCAGCCTTCTGTTTTTGCTTCCCAGTAATTGCTAACTAGTGTGAGAAAGAAAAGCCTTACAACCTCTTCTCCATTTAGATCAGATCTAGCTTGAGTATCTCATAGCTGCTTTTGTAGAGAAAAGAGGGAGACATTGGAAAGAGATATACTGAAGAATATCATTATTACAATGTCTAGATCAGGCGTGTCTAACCTGCGGTCCACAGGCCACATGCAGCCCTGGTGAGCTAGTAATGCAACCCCACAAGATTGTAAACTTTTAACATTATTATGTGGTTTGCATACATTATATTGTATATTTTCTATGTGACCCAAGACAATTCCTCTTCATTCAATGTGGCCTAGGCAAGCCAAAAGTTTGGACATTCAGATTGTCTCTTTCCCCCCACTTTTTAAAGATATTCAATAGCTGATCGTGTTTTCAGTCAAGTGGTCATAAGATCTTGTTCTTTTGGCTTTAATCTGACATTAATAAAGAGGAAAGGAACAGATAATGATCTTAATTGTTCTCTGAGAATGATGCTTATTCAGACACAAAAAAGAAGATGCCTGCTAAAGGAATGCCATCTCTCATGTTTGAAAAATGTAGCAGTGGCATACTACATAAAAAATAGCAAACAAATCTGTGGGATGTAGAAAGGCAAAAGAGTATAAGCCATGTATTATTTTGGTGTCTAACTGAGAATTACATGATTTGGATATGTCCCATATTGAGTCAATAAAAAACCAGATGTCTGGTAGCACCTTCTCAGACTAACACATTTTTTAAAAAAAAGGCATAATAAGCTTACTTCATTGGATTTATGAAGTGGCTAACCTGAAGTAGGATTTAAACTGGAATGAGGTGGCAAGGGAAAGAGCAGAAGACAGAAGATGGTAGTTATGCAGATGCAGATTACAGGTTTCTTATAAATTAAAATTTGTTTTATATTAAAAACCCATTGTGTTTGTTAAATCCTTTTGAGATTAATATATATATGATAGCAATAGCACTTAGACTTATACACTTAGACTTCATAGTGCTTCTCAGCCCTCTCTAAGCGATTTACAGAGTTTGCATATTGCCCACAACAATCTGAGTCCTCATTTTACCGACCTCGGAAGGATGGAAGGCTGAGTCAACCTTTCACTAGTCATTTATTCAATTTTGCTCAGTTGTGCTAGTGAAGTTTCTTTGCTCCAGAATAGCTGCTTTAAGGTCTGTTACAGGTCTGCTGGCAGGTCAAAATGCTGTTATTATTATGCCCTTGTCTTGAGTCCTGATGTCAAACTTGTGTGCATTCATTCTTCTACAGAAGGTTTGCCCCATTTGTCCTTCCTAGACTCCAGAGGGTGTTAACCTTGTGAGGTAGTCCAGACAAGAAGCATAACCAGGAATACTAGTTCTACCTTTATTGAAAGGATACATTAACATTACATTTCAAAATTGCATCCCATACCTCACCTTTATTCACCCCAATACTAGAGAGGGTTCCTTCTGAGCCATTTTCACTAGTTGTCCTCCTTCAGATTTCAAATTTTGCTTATCAGACCATTGTCTTGGCTGCAGCTCTTCCTCCTGCCTTCTCAGATCATTCCTACTTTCCATTAAAGAGAGACATTGCTGGCAGATGATGGCATATCTCATGTCAGAGGAAGAGCTTGTGAAGATACCCTTAATCTGTGTATGAAGTTGTGAGGGCTGTGACTGCATAGCTGGTGTAGTGCAAATACCCCCTGTAATGTCTACAGTGTCATTGAATCTATAAAGAAACCTTGAGGCAAAGAAAAAAAACAGCTTTTAGGTTTGTTGGCCTGGAATTCTTGAAACTGTACTGTTAATCCACCCAGAGTCCCTTCTTTTGTGAGGTGGGCAGCTACTGAATATACATTTGAAAAATAAATGAATAAATCCATACTCAAAAGGGCATCAATCTGAGGAAGGGTAGCGAACTGTGCTAGCGCTTTAAGTCTTCTCCTTCAGGTTCATTTTTGCCAGCTTGTGATGTCACCTATGATCTGTTTTCCAGATTTGGCCGCAGAAGAGTGGTCATAAAAAAGGGGCATGAAGCAACTGCCTTTTACTTCATTTATTATGGTACAGTTGCTATCACGGATGATGATGATGGTAGCAGTGCCTTTGTGGAAACAGCTCCAACTACGATTCAGAGTGGTGCTTCTTTTGGTGTGAGTGTGATCTGCAATTGTGGTTCTCAACTTTTCAGTATTAGCAAAGAAAATGGTTCTCTCCATAACAGAAACACACACATGCGCACACATGCACCTTTTTCCACAAAGGAAATATCTCTGTATGCTTACAAGCTTTGATAAATGTTATGCCTCTAAGTATTCTCAATATATAAGAATTATACTATTGCTTTTCCAATTGAAAGATGCTGACCTTCCCAAGCACTGGGAAATTTCAGCCTCAGAATCCAGCAGGGAGCATTGTCAAGACAGGTAACTTTCAGGGAAACTGATACTCAGAAAATCTTGTTGAATGAGTTACAAAGATAGCACAATGTTAAAGTGTCCAGGGGCCATAAAATCCTTACCACAAAAATGAATTTTAAATAAATTTGAAAATCACGGTGACATATTGTGAAGCCAACTCCCATCATCCTGGACCATCTGTATTTCCTATAATATTGTAGGATTCCAAATAGATTCAGCAAAAATAATGGTGGCTTCAAGAAGGCTTCTGTTGATAGATTTACTCTGCTGCCTAGGAAAAAGGAAAGGCAAAGCTGGGAAAAGCTTGAGTTTAGGAAATATGAAGGGGGGGGTGTCGACCGGTGAAGAGGATGAGAAGAGAGAAATTAAATAAAAGGAAAAGGACCAGGTATATAATAGAAAAAGAGGAAGAATCAACCATGGCAATATTTGCTCTCATTATCTCTCGCTTATTAACAGGAAATTGCCCTTTTGCAAAAAACAAAAAGAAATGCCACTGTCGTCTGTATGGCGGAAACGGAATTGCTGGTGGTGGATAAAAAGGATTTTTTTGCCTATAAACTAGATAAGGAACTTCAACGGGAATTCAAAATTCGCTACGATTATTTGAGGTATTCCTTATATCGCTGTTGTCCATTGTTTCTGGGGTTTTGGCTTTTGTTCAACTAATCAACCTTTATAGGAAGAATTCCATAGATAAGGAGTGCTTCTTTTTCAATAAGACATCAAGCATTTCAACCTCTCAGCAGCTTTTGATACCATGGTATCCTTCAGAAATGGTTTTGGGGACTGGGAGTACGGTATTGCCTTGTTTTATCTCCTTTCTTTGAGACTGTTTCCAGTTGGTGCTGATCATGAGTGAGAGGTCTGACCTTCAGCCCCTGCACTGTAGGATCCCTCAAGAGTTAGTGCTTTTCCCATTCCCATTTAACATCTACATGAAACTGCTGGATGAAATCATCTGTCATTGTAGAGTTAGATATCATCAATATGCTGATGATACTCAATTGTATGCCACTGTCTGTGGTGAGTTAAGCTATGCTGCAACTACCCTTTCTCAGTGCCTGGATGCTGTTGAGGTCTGGATGGGGAGGAGCAGCTTAAAACTAACCCCTGGCAAGATTGAGTAGCTTTGGATCTGGAGCTTCTTGGTTTGTTGTAGAATTACAATCTTTGATTGTCAATGGGTTTGCACTGCCCCAGATAGACATAGTTCATAATCTGGGGGTTCTCCTGGAGTTATGACTTCTGCTTGAAAAGCAGGTGGCAGTCATGGCCAGAAGGGCATTTGCACAATTGTGTGTGGTGTGCCAGTTATTCCCATTCCTGGACCAATGGCCTGTTCTCATGGTCACCTACAAAGTGGTCACTTTCCCTTTGGACTATTGTAATGTGCTGTACATAGAGGTGCCCTTGAACAGCATCCAGAAGCTTGAGTTGGCTGAAAATACAGCCACCCTCATGGTTTCGTGTAAGTCCAAATTTCCACAAAGACCACTACACTGATTACCAATTTGCTTCTGGGTGCAATTCAAAGTGCTAGCTATCACCTTTAAAGCTCTGCATTGTTTGGGGCCAGGTTATTTGATGGACCACCTCTCCCCAATTACATCAACCCAGCCCATCAGAACAGGAAGGCAGAGTATATTCCAGGTCCCAACTATCAAGGAAGTACATCTGGTGGGACCTAGAAAAAGGGCCTTCTCTGTGGTGGCCATGACCTTCAATGAGGATAGATTTGGGGTGATTTGGGCTCGTATTTACAAAAAAATAAGTTAGCTACTATTACACTGCTGCAGAAATTACAGTTAGGGGTTTTTATCCTTATTTTCCCCATTTACAGAGAATTAAACATGCAGCTCTTTCTGACCCAGCCTTTTATATTCTTTCCCTTTAATAATTCCACTTTTATTGTATTGTTTCATTTCAGCCCATTTCATTTTATAGATGGGTGGAAAAAGAGCCAGGTTGTTAAGCATTCACTGTTTTTTAAAATGAATAAAGCAGCACTATAGAGATTGTCCATATTATTGTTTTTTGCTCAGGATTCTCAAATAAGACAGGGCTTGAGAGAAAAACACCAATGTTACTGCCTGAAAGAAAATCCAAACTCTCCTATCTGGAACAAACATATAATACTTTTGCAGGAGGAGACATCGGTTTGTGCCTTCATAGTATTTCTTCCTAAGGCTGCCTCAAGCAGATTGCTTTGATATATTTATTGACTCAGCTACACCACTGCCTATCCCCAGAACATCCAAGGCAGCCACTTCTGGAAGGCAGACGCTTCACCTTCTCTGAATCCCCACTAACCTTCACAGAGCACACAGTTTTGCCCTATTTCTGCAGTACACTTTCCCCAATTATATTGCCTCAAGCATTGCTGTCCATTTGGGCTAGAGAATTTCAGATTATTGCAGGCTACCCTTCACAGTTCATGGCTTCTTTGCAGAGGTAGGAAAACACCTGAAATTTAGCTCCGGGCCTTTTTAGACCTCTCCTTTACCTTGCCTGTAACTTTTGCTTCACAAATCAAACGTTGCTGATTTGAAAGAGTAAACCTTGGAGAAAGATTGATTTCAGCCCTACAGGTAGACCAGATCAGAAAATGGACTCCACAGACAAAGCCAGAATTCTACTTTACTGAGATAGGCGCTAGTAGCAGAATCTTGCAAGTTCACCTGTGTTTTGCCTTCCATCTCTTTTAAGCTCCAGAGAGTCAAGGGGGAGCTGGACTGAGTCTCTTCCTGTCTTGTGGGCTTAACACAAACTTCTTCTGCACCTATTGTTTTTTTAACAGCTGCTGGATGGTTTCTCCAAGGTCATCTCCAAGACTCCCTACAGAAACCTGGCAGGAACTATTTCAATTATTCTTCTTCCTGGACTTTCTCTCCTCCTCTTCCTTCTCCTCCTCCTCCTCCTCCTCCTCCTCCTCCTCCTCCTCCTTCTCTTTATTGCTGTTGCTGTTGGTGGCAGCTTGGGAACAAGAGGGAAGAACAGCAGCAATATATATATATATTATTTAGAATTTAAGCATCTGCTCCATGCTTTATCGTCATTTTCATTTTTCCAGAATACAGCACAATAGGCACATAGATATGTAGGACATTGTATTTCAGAGGAATTAAATGGTTGGTGTCTGTTGAGCTGCATCAGGCCAACAAAATAAAAGGCCTATTTCACATGCTAGGCTTAGAGAAAAATGATGATTGGGTTTCCTTTGCCTATGTTTCCCTATAAGTTTAGTGGAGTTCCTTACATAGTAGAATAGATATGGATTTAGAGATGAATATCTCAGAGCCATTCCTGAATGCTTTGATCTGTAGTTAGCCAAAAGCTTTCAATTTGTAGTTAAGTAAATAGTTGATGAGAATAGCCACATTTTTTTCTATTTTCAGGGCTATAGATCTTTTTCAAACACTGCCTGATTCTTCAATAGATAAAATAGCTAATTACTGCAAAGTTGAGAGATTCTATTGTGGACAGGTGATAACCACTGATCTTGCAGAAACCCACTGTATGGTATTTATTACCAAGGTGAGATTTACTTTGGTTTCATGTTTATAGTATGGTTTGCACCCTTTTCTTTCTACTAGTTAAAGGTTTTTTTAATCTACAAATTCACAAATGGGTGGATTTGCACACTGCATTAAGTCAGCAGTTCCTAACAATGAACCTATGGTCTATGCAAAAATCAGATTATTTCAATGATGTATGTTGTATGTAGAACACCAAAATCCAGTAAGGTTTTGCACTCTCATGAGATATATCCATTAAAAATATATCTATGCCAAACTAAGGGAATCCATTAATAGAGACCACCAGTGGTCCCTGAATCACAGGTATCTACTGTATTATACACCATCATGATATCAAAATGATGACATGCATGTCATATCACACAAATAACAGAAATATGTAATTTGCATCACTTGTACCATGTTGAACATAAATATATAAGTTGTATCTTCACCTGTGTTTCATAAAAGGATGACGTCTTGACTCCTATGTCAGCATTCATTTGCATTCCTCTGTACACATCTATGACTCAGCTTCTTCCACACTTCCAAATTAGCTTGGAAAGTCTTTTGATGATGTTAGGAACTGTTTAAGACAGATATGTCAAACTCGCAACGTCACGTGATGTCGCGCATTGTATCGGGACGGTTTTGCCATTGCCGGCAAAGGGGTGGGCGTGGCTTCTGGATGACGCATCCGGCCCATGGGCCGGCAGTTTGACACCCCTGGTTTAAGATATCTTTGCATAACGACCAGCTTTAGCCTGAGAACCATTGAATCCACCTCACCAGCCTCAGCCTTTACATTTATACTTTGTTTGTAGGCTGCAGCAATGGGATTATGCTAGTGAGGAAAAACTGTATGGCCAAACATGATATGTGAAGATTGTCTTTTGCCTGAAAATGTCCTCTGATTAAGATTAAACCAGTCCATACCTGGTTTAAAGGAAAATATCTATGGAACAAAATAGCCAAAACTTAAATGATTTTTCTCTTCAACAATTAGCATGCGGACAGTAGAGTTAGCAGGTAAAAAGTATCACATTTTTATTCTAGTATCTCTATTTTCTTCCCTCTTTCTCAAAGCACATATAATATTTACGCAAATCTGTGTCTTATTTTCCACACATGTTCTAGGTAACCTGTTTTCCTCTATATTGGCAATAAATACATGGCAATCCCCTGAAAGGCCCTTTGGGGCATCTGATGTAATCAACCCTATGGGCCCTTTTTTATTATTGTGAATGGATTCTTCTTGTCAGTCAACAGGTTCTGATGTTCATACACCCTCAATAATCATCTGTAAGGGACAGATGTTCTTTATAATCTGGGCATAGACAGATACTACAACCATTCCCTGTACTAAAGATGGAAAGGATTTTGGCAATGGTTTGTGCTCTGAGCTTTCCGTTTAGCTCCTGAACGTTTTGTTACAAAGCTATGTAACATCATCAGCAGGACTTCGTTTTTAGTGTCTTGTCTCATTTCTCTTCATCTTAAATAGGTCTAGTGTGGTAGGGTGGTCGTGTGACTAGCTGGTTGCATGGTGCAAAAGGCAGCTGGTGAGGCGGTGGTCGGTTCTATCATTAATTGATCATTCTGATGGTCCAGTTTTTTATGGATTCATATACTGATTCCAAAGCTATATGTTTGTTGATTGAATCATTTGTAGAATACCAGGCTTTGGCAAATTGGCATGCAGGACAGGTTTTGGCATGGCCAATGACTCTTATTCCATCCCAGTTGAACTGGAGTTGTTCAATGTCAATGGGTCAAGATCAGTGATTTTTGGTCGTGTCGCTTGACCGCTAGCCAGTGTTCATGAATCCTTGTTTTTAGTTGTCATCCTGTTTGTCCAACATAGAACTGGTTACAATTGTTGCAACTGATTTTATATATTATGTTGCTGCTGTCTACTTTCTGTTTTTGGCTTTGATCTTAGATAGCTCTTGTCAGAGAATGGATGTGGGTTTGTGAGCCACCATTATTCCCAGGGGTTGTAAAATCCTGGCAGTCAATTCTGATGTTCCTTTGATGTATGGCAGGACTTGTTTCCGTCTTGCGGTTGGCTAAATGGTACGTCAGGGTTTGGATGATATGCATCAGAGTAGGAAGTTTTGGGGATAGCCATTGTGGGGGAAGACATTGGAAAGGTTTTTCTCCTCTGCTTTTTCAGTGACTTGGTGCTACAGTGTGTCTTGGCTCTTCTGAAGAGGGTCTAGATGCAGCTCCTCTTGTGTGCAGTGGGGTTGCGAAACTAAGAATCTGGTTTGTGTGTGTAGATTTTCCAATTATGCTGGTTGTTAGTTCACCATTATCCTGTCTTCTTATGTCAATGTCGAGGAAAGAGAATCGTTGGTCCTTTTCTTCCTCATATGTGAAACTGATCCCAGTGAACACATTATTAAGTAGGTGGTGTGTTTCTTCTAGTTTGGAGCGTTTAATGATGACAAAAAGTGTCATCCACGTAACATCCCCAAAATTTTGGCTAGATGGTTGGCAGGACTGTGTATTCAAGCCATTGCATGACTGCTTCTGCTATCAGGCCAGATATGGAAAGGATTCATTTGGTTTTTTTTAAGAACAAAGCATAGTTGAACTGGGGAGGAGCTGGGAGAGATAGGCTGGAAAAGAATGCAAATTTATAACCAAGTAGCCTCTGGTACAAGAGGTTCTCCCCAGAAAGTTGGAGGTTATCTATGTAATGAAGCAGGGGAACTTTTAGTTCGAGAAATTGCTATTTTCTGTAAAAATGGGTAAAATTTCAGCCAGAAAATTATATTAGATTGTTTCTTTCTGTTTTCTATGTGCTGCCAAGTTACACTTAAAGTTCTTATTTCTCCATACAAGTTAGGATGCCATTTGTTTTACTGGGCAAGAAGAAATTAATTTTATTTTTAGCTTTCTAGTGGTCCACAATATCAAATTGCGAGTACTCCTGTTCACTAGGAGAAAGTATTCATTGAGAACTGACAATGCCATTTGTCATTTTCCTAGAACTGTCAGGCCCCAAACCAAGAATAACATGTGACAATTCTTCTAAGCTAATTTTTTTATTATTTCACACCTATAGACAAAATCTTGTCAGATTAAGGACACTATCTGCAACCACAATACACTCTGTGAACTAATAAGGAGGGGCTATCTTCACTCTATTTCTCTAACACTTGATGTTTGGACTGAGTTGTCCTTTACTCTTCTGGAATGCACCCCTTTCTTCCTGGGGATCCACCTTCTCACTACATTCCATCACAGAACATTGTCTATACTTTTGCAATTTTATTTTAAGGTAAAACAGGTTTCATGTATATATCTTTTTAAAAAATAAAATTTGATTTTCTTTAATTCTTGTGAGGTTGGCCTATTTCCAAAGCCTTTAGTCATATGCCTCTAAGCTATATAGTTGCATTATAGCCATTATTTCAAACCTACTCTCATTTTTACCTTTTAATTGACAAAAAGCCTATACAAATTGTGAAAGTTCTACTTTCTCATACAGTGGGATTAGAGAGAGAGTGACAAGTGCAGTAGTCCATGAAAGATAGGCTGCAATAGTGGGAACCACCAAATCACTCCCCATTTGTGTCGGAGGCACATTTAAGGCACTTCCGGGTTGAAAGGATTAGCTGGTGACATCACTGTTGCCCGGGGGATCCCTGTCAAGGGGCTGGAGTGAATGATGGGATTTCACCCCACCATGCAGCAACACTCAGGTCTCGAAAGAGGGTTTGCTAACCTCCAACCCAGCATCCTAACCACATCAGCCACCATGCTCCCACAAAATTACTATCTCAGAGTAACGAAATAGTGCCAGAATTTGAAGAACTAGGAGATCTCCAGCTGTTTACCCCACATTGGTCAGCCATTCTGCTATCCAAATAGTTTTGGGCCTGAGGCAAATTTCATTCACCAAAACATTTATGCTCAGCTGAGCAAATATCCATGATTAAATGCATACTTGAAAAAAAATCAAAAAACTCTAGATATTATGAATATTGTTTTATAAGTAATACTTTAGCCTTACTCCTTCACGAGAACCTTAGGTCTCTTCTAAGGTAATGTTTCTGTGATACATGTCACTGCAGTATACCTTTTATTCTAAAACAATCATTTTGGCCACAAGCAAGTATATACAGATATAATCAATGGTGGGATTCAGATGGTTTGCACCAGTTCGGCAGAACCGGTAGCTAATTTTTTGTGGACTTCAATTAAAGCCCTAGCCCTTTTCCGGTAGCTAATTTTTTGTGGACTTCAATTAAAGCCCTAGCCCTTTTCTACAAGGCCCAGAACAGACTGCCGGAAGTGCATGGATGCCACTTCTGGAAGTCTGTTCTGAGCCTTGCAGGCCTGGGACAGGCCTCCCTGGACCAGAACGGCCCACTGGAAGTGTGTGGATGCCACTTCTGGAAGTCCGTTCTGAGCCTCAGAGGGGAGGCTCCCAGCCCCCAAACAGCCCACCAGATGTGTGTGGACACACTTCCAGAAGCCTGTTCTGGGCCTCGGAGGCCCAGGCCCAGAACGGACTTCCGGAAGCGATGTCCATGCAGAGAACCGGTTGTTCTGGTATTTGAATCCCACTACTGGATATAATCAATTCATTCTCAGGCAAGTAGTAGCTTCCAAGTCATACAAACTCTTTTTTAATGAAATACAAACTGAACTACTTCAAGTCTTTCCCCAGGACTGCAGTTTGGCCCCCTTTGCCCTAAATTATCTTTAATTTTTAAAAGTCCTTTTCTGTCTCAAAATTAAAGAAAAATTCTGAGCATAAAGTTGGATGTTGGCAAGTCACTTTCAGACTTTCAAGATTCTGTTACTGTAATCTTATAATAATTGTAGCATTAGCATTCACAACTTTGGTTTCCTTCACTGATCTACTTCAGACTGCTAATGAACTCCCAAAGAGAGTCTTAGATCACATATGGATTCTGAATAATTTTGCTAATTTCTGGTTTAGGTATTGGTTTTTAAAACTCAGACTGATTATTCAGGTGAACAGATTTCTTTTCTTAATATTATAAGCTGCCTACACTTTCAGACCGTATTTGTTCATTCATTCACCTCACAGATCTCCATTCAACAAAACAAAACAACTGACTTTTGTTTTCGTTTTGTTTCATCAGGGCATTTGTGAAGTATTGCGACTGGTTAACCTGAGCACTTGTCCTTCTTATCAAAAATGGATCGCTAAACAGCTGCATTTTCCCAAAAACAAAACATCCACAAAAGAAAGGCACCAAATGGATTCTGGTATGTTACATGTTGACTTCTGTAAAGGTGTAATTCTTGTAAACATAACATATGATAATGGTATTGGTCTTACTGTCCAAAGAACTAGTTCTTTGTGGGCAAAATATTTAAGGCAAACATACTTTTTGATTGGAAGGTAGATAGAAAATATCAACTCCAGGTAGTCTTCGGGTTATGACCAGTTTTTCAATGACTGTTCAGAATTACCACAGTGCTGAATAAGGGGAGCTTGCAAGGACTCCTTAGAATTCAGCATTCCTTCAGTTATAGGAATCATGA